TGTGTGCCTAAGGAACAGGAAAATATGATACAATCCCTTCCCCTCATAGAGCTTTTGGTCTAATAGGGGACTGAAGACTCATAGTTAACTAGAACACTCCTCTCTGCCCCTATGGAACCATGAGCTGGCTTTCTCAGGGCGCCTCAGACCAGGCCTGTCCCACCCAGGCTTTTGCTTTACTCCATTTCTCAGGCTGCTTATAGATTTGAGCTACTGGGGGTGGTGGCCTCTTGTCACATGCCATCGATGGTGCAGTGATGAAGGAAAAAGCCTAAGTAGGACTGGCTGTGATAAATAGCTGTCAGAGGTGGTCTCCTCTCTACCTGGGATCATTTGTTCCTTCTACCCTGGTCTTGGGCCCCCTAACTGTGAATTTCAGTGGTATTTGTCATACCCCTTCAAATTCCATTCCAAATCTTCAGGACTATAGGTGGTGGAGGATGTTTAGCCTCTGTCTCTGTCTCCCTCTCTCTTCGTCCTTCCTCCTCTCTACCACCATATCATTATTTCTCTCTCTCTTTTTCTGTCTCGTCTCTTTCTGTCTCTCGTGCTCTCTCTCATTTCTCAATCACCTGGTAGAATGTTAGCTCCTTGAAGGCAGATGCTATTTCATTTTTGTCTTGATATCCCCAGCCTAGCATATGGCCTTGTGTGTAGTAGGTGCTTAATAAATGCTTATTGAATTGTATACTTGTTGAATTACCACCCAACACAAATTAAGCATGTTCTGTACGCAGGGAAGCCTGCATCCCAAACATGCTTAACTGATAGCTGTTTTGTCTCTTTTTAGCCTCTTGCCCACCAGTGTTCCACACTGACAGCATCATGGAGATTCTCACAGTGAATGTCATAACTCCATTTTTCCCTCCCCCCAGCCCTCCATATCCTCTGGGCAACCCTGGGAAGCTGTCTTATCCACCAATGAGATAGGAATGAGCAGTGTTCTTGTATAGAAAGGTGTGGTGGAAAGAGTGATGGATAGATTTGGAGACTCAGATCCCAGCTATGCCACTTGGGCATATGCATGACTTTGGACACCTAACCCTTTTTGTTTCCGAGTTTCTTCATTTGTAAAATAAAAGGTTTGAACTAGATATGTTCTTTCTAGCTTTAAATCTGCACTCCTGGGGCAGCTGGGTGGCACAGTGGAGAGAGCACCGGCCCTGGAGTCAGGAGTACCTGAGTTCAAATCTGACTTCAGATATTACTAGCTGTGTCACCCTAGGCAAGTCACTTAACCCTGATTGCTTCAAAAATAAAACAAAACAACTACACTCTTGTGATTCCATGATTCCCCCTTCCTTGAATCAGCCCTGGGGGATCATCTGGCAGAAGCCATGCAGAGTGGGGAATGGTATACACAAGAGACTGTCTCCCTTACCTCTCCAGGGCAGGAGCTCCTCCTGTTCTCTCTTTATGCCCTTAGCCTGTGGAGGCCCTAAGACCCAGGGCAGAGAGAACTCACTCGCCTTTCTCCTCCTCTTTGCTTTGGGTAGAGGTGCTGAGAGATGGTTGGGGCAAGATGCCCAGGGAGCTGCCCTAACAGCTATTGCCAGCAGCCTCTCCCTATTGGGGGTGGTGGACAGGCCTGGACAGGAACCTGAATCCCAGGGCTGAGGAGACCTATGCAAGACCGTATAGCCCTTCCATTGATCTCTAGGTATTCAACCTACCTAGATATGTCCTCTCTATAGAGAATATAGACATATTCTCTATTCTCCTCTCCCTCCCCACCCCAGGATTTTTTAGGACAACCCTCTTCCTTCTAACAAAGAGAAGGCAATTCCCTAGGTTTTCTCCCATTCAGAAGTCAAGACTTCCAGAAAATTCCACCTGTTGTCTAACTTCATTCCCCCATCCTATAAGGCAGCTACCTGGTACATTGGATAGAGTGCTGGGCCTGGAGTCAAGAAGACAAGTTAAAATTTGATCTCAAGGGGCTGCTAGGTGGTGCAGTGGATAGAGCACTGGCCCTGAAGTCAGGAGGAACTGAGTTCAAATCCAGCCTCAGACCAGACACTTGAGACTTACTAGCTATGTGACATTGGGCAAGTCACTTAACCCCAATTGCCTAAATAAAATAAAATAAAATAAAATCTGATCTCAGACACTTACCAGTTGTGTGACTCTGGGCAACTCAGTCACTATCTGCCTCAGTTTCCTCAACTGTTAAAATGGGGATCATACTAGTATAGCATAATACCTCCCCTCTCCCAGGGCTACCGTGAGGATCAAAGTAATATTTGTAGAGTATTTAACACAGTGCTTGGCACATAGTAAGTGCTTAATAAAAGCTTCCTTTTAATAAATGGTTTCCTTCCTGCCTTCCTTCCTGTGTTCTCAACTGGTTTCCTCTCATTCTGTCCTCAGTGGAAGATGAGATGCTCTTCCAAGTGTGAGAGCCCCAAAGACCAGTGGGAAAGTAAATTTCAGATCTGGGGATCTTTGAGATATAATCATAGAACCAGTGAATACCAGTGCTGGAAGGGATGTGAGAAACTTTCTGGTCTAAACCACTTACTGTACAGATGAAGAAACAGGTTTAGAGAGCCTGATGACAGTAATATTAGACAACTCAGGTTGGGCTAGGGGTCACCTACTGGATAAGAAGAAAGAGGGACACCTGCTGTTTTTTGAGGGAACCAGTTTCCTCAGGGCAGAGCCCTGGACCCTCATTCTTCTTAGCCTTATCTATGCTAAATCTGAGGTTTCTACTTCTGCCCATCTGGGCTCTTGGGTTTCTTGGAATATGTGATCTTCTGTCTGGGGGACTTTGAATGAGAAACTCCCAAGGAGGAGGGCAAGTAAAGCCATGTTGTACAGGGGAAGGAACGCTAAATTTGGTAATAGAAAACCTGGGTTAGGATGCCAGCTTTGCGATCTTGGTGAAGTATTCTCACCAACATATTTTGTCTCCCCCTAATAGAATGTGAGCTCCTTGAGAGAGCCTTCATTTTTGTTTTTATTTCCTGAGTGCTTAGAGTAAGCACTTAGTGCTTAAGATAGCTAGATAGTACAGTGGGTAGAGCACTGGGCCTGAAGGAAGACACTAGTTCAAATCTGGCCTCAGACACTTACTAGATGTGTTACCCTAGACAAGTCACTTAACCCTGGCAAACCACTCCAGTATCTCAGCCAAGAAAACTCCAAATGAGGTCACGAAGAGTTAGACGCAACTGAACAACGAAATCACTCAGAAAATATTCATTCATTCATTCATTCTACCTCTCTGGCCTTCAGTTTCTTCAGACTTAGATTAGATGCCCTCACATATCCCTTTCAGCTCAAAATCTTCAGGGCCTATAATCCCCTTGGACCAGGGAGAAGAGAGGAGCACGGTGTAAGCAAGTTAGAAGAACAGGACAGAGAAGGTAGAGATACAAAGATCTTTGTTTCCACTCAGCTCGCTAACCTCTGGATCTTCCCTCCATGGTGGAGAAAGAGCCCTGGGATATTGCTCCTTGCTGCTCTCAGCAGCTGTGTTGGGGCCTGCCTGGGGATGGAAGGAGAGGAGCTTTTCCCCCACCTCTGCCTGGTGGGAGGCCTGTCTCCTGCACAGTGGAGGGCCTAGGTTTCAGATGCTGAAGGTGAGGTCAGAGAGGAACATCTCCGAGGGGTAGTGGGCCTGTCTCCACAGCCTGAGGTGTATGTGTGTGTGGGGATGGGGGAACATCTGTCCTTTTTTTCTCTTTGTCTCCATAGGGAAAAACAAACCATTCTGAACTCCTGGATGTTTTGTCCCATGTCCAGCTGCCTCCCTTATTTGTGGTTTCAGGGGACTAAAAAAAATGGAGAGAGGATGGTTTGGGCTTGGCCAGGTTCAAGGACATTGGTTCTACTTCTGGCTTCATCCAGAATTCCAACTTTTTTGAACTTTGTACTTACTGGCGAGAGAGAGGGCCAGAGGTCATTCTATCCAACCTCCCGTCTCTGAGCGTAGGGACAGACACAGAAGCTTTCCTTTGCTCAGAGACTCCCAGGGCATGAGATGTTCTCCTCTTCTTCCCTATTTACCCTCCTTCCTGTTCTCTAAATACTATCTCTCCACCTGCATTATTGGAGAGGGATTGGTTCTGGGAACCAGAGAAACCTAGAATGATGATGGCAGGTGTTTTGGGGAGCAAAGTAAGGTCATGCTTGGGGGGGGAACAAAAGGCCTGGGGGGGCCCATGGAAAACATGACCCATGACACCTGGCCTCCCTTTACCACCAAGCAAAGAGCTGGCCAGTGGAAACAACCCTGAGGCCTGAGAGTAGGGTGTCCTGTGCCACCCTAGAACCCCACCCTGATGCTCCTGGCAGCTCCCAGTGCCTCTGAGCTCTGCCACCCAGGGCTGCACCAGACAGGGCCAGCCATGGGCAAGCTGCACCCCACCCTTGAGGGGGTGGATGGGCCACCCTGCTGCTTCCATGCCTGGGAAGTTTCAGCCCCAAACAAGCCAGGGGAGACACCCAGCCCTGCTTGCTCCTCCTGGCAGCTGATAAATCATTAGCAGCAGGAAGATTAAGCTCTAAATCCTTACCTGTATTCTATGCTCCTTCTTAGAGTAACGATTGTCTGATTTCACCCTGTAGCTTGCATTGTCCTTCCTGCTGCCTAGCTCGGGGCAGGGAGCTGTGGGGATCTTGGCTAAGGATGAGAAATCTGTCCTATGAATCCAGATGGTCTTTGGCACTTTTCAAATTTGGCCCTAAACTCTCCCCTGGGAGAACTGGACATTGAGTTGTCAACATGGCTACCACTGCCTCTGTCAGATCAAACTCTTCCCTGGTGAACTTCGATTTGAATTTTGTCCTTCATTTCCCAGGGGCTGGGGGATGAATCTGGAGCCTGCCCAGGGGCCTTGTCCTTGGGAACCTGTTCTGTTGGTCCTTTTCTCCATGTCTCCCCAGCACCTGTGGACTCAGCTTCTGCCATATTTATAGGATGAAAGACTTACAGCTGGAAGGGATCATTGAATCCAACTCACCTTCTTTTACAGAGGAGTAAAGTGAGGTTCAGAGAAATTACTTGAATGCCCAGGGTCATACATTTATCAAAGGCAGTATTTGAACTCAAGTCTTCAGCATTCCATCTTTGGTTTATTTTATGCAGCTCTCTAAATGTTCTTAAATCTGTTTCCTATGTGTTTTTTTTCTGTTTTCCCATCCAACTGGGTAGAGTCAGGCTCCCCTAAAGGAGTCTGTGGAGCCTTTGACTGAAGTCCTGAGGAGGTATCTTGCAGTCTGGGGAGAATAAGAGTGAAACGAATGACCAGTGGCTTAACAACATGGGGCAGGGTGCCCAGCTGGTTCTGGGTGGAAGGTGTCTGTGTCATGGATGGAGCTGGGAGAAGGTGGTGAAGCCTCCTCCCTCTACCATCACCAGGCCTATTTTCCACTCCAAATCACACAGCTCCCTGAGCTCATCCTTTGCCTAATTGAAGGCTGTAAGTTCCAGGAAACTGCTCGGTCCTCTTGTTTTCCTGCTGCCCAGGGCTAGTCAGCCAGGATGATTATGCCCTCCTTTGTCTCTGGAGGAGACAATAAAAAAAAAACAAAACACAACAAAACCTCTGCTATGCCTCTGGCCTGGGGCAGCTGGGGAGAGAGAGAAGGACATCATGCCAGGGGGGTCAGAAATTGCTTGTCCTTCTGGGAGCCCTGGGGCTCCATGCAGGAATGAGTGAGGAGACAAATTATACTGTTGAGATTTTGGCTCTGACTTCAAGAATGAGAGAGCCTGGGCCCCACCCCTGGCCTGAGTATAAAGGGGCTGCAGCCTGGGGTCCTGCTGTCCAGTCAGACTGAGTTGAACTGGACACTGAGTTGTCAACATGGCTACCACTACCACTGTCAGACAGTACTCCACTTCTGGGTCCATGAAAGGCATCTGTGGACTGGGTGGCGGTTCCTCCCGAGTGTCTTCAGTCCGGGTTGGGGGGGCCTGCCTTGCTCCGAGCCTCCTGGGGGCCGGCAGCTGTGGGAACATGTCAGTCACCTCATCCCGCTTCACCTCCAGCTTGGGGGGCGGCTATGGCAGTGGCTACAGCTGCAGCCTGGGAGGGGGTTTTGGCACCAGCTATGGCGTAGGGGATGCCCTGCTGGGAGGGAGCGAAAAGGAGACCATGCAGAACCTCAATGACCGCCTGGCCAACTACCTGGACAAGGTGCGTGCCCTGGAGGAGGCCAACACTGACCTGGAGCTGAAGATCCGGGACTGGTACAAGAAGCAGGGTCCTGGGCCTGCCCGTGACTACAGTCCTTACTTCAAGACCATTGAGGACCTGAGGAACAAGGTAGGAGACTGAGGACCAAGGGAACAACACATACCAGTGGGTGGCTTTGGGGAGCTCTCAGCTGTCTCTGACTTCAGTTTCCTATTCTCTGTCCTCTCCCCCAGCATGTCCTTCTCATTCCATTCTCATCCGGAAGGGCCCATTTGCCCGTCTTAGAGTTAATCCTCCCTCCTCCCCTCTCCAGGGAGCCTTCTTGGCTTAACCGCGCCCTTCACTGATCCCTCCTTTATTCTGGGTTTTTTCAGCACCTACATGCCCATGTATTATTCCATTCTCTTGCACTTGTTTGTACCTGGTTTTAAAAAAGTGTTTCCTCTGTCTCTGTCTGGGGTGTGTATATGCTGCTTGTCCCAACAGCAGGAGACCCTCCGGCCTCTCGGTCTGCTGGGGGAGGCCCTGCTTGTCTAGGGGAGCTTCAGGGACGCCCCTCAGGAAGTTCTCAGTCTGATGGGCAGACAGGATACAGTGCCCAGACGCGAGCATAGGTCCCTTCTCCTGTGGCCCAGGAACTCAGACAAGTAACATAACAGATGAGGGCAAATGGACCTGTGGTAGCGAAGGAAACTGCACAGCTGGTAAATCAAGGAAGGCTTTCTGAAAGTAATTTTGGAGCTGGACTTTGGCTGGGGGGGTGGGGTGGGAAGAGGACAGAATCGTAACTTTTGGCTGGACTTGTCCTGTTTCTTGTGCCAAAAAAGACCCAACCTGGCTCTCCTGCTCACCCTGCTGAGGGTCTTGGCTCTGCTCTTCCCACTCACTAGCAGGGCTGAGAATCTCCCTTCTGGAAATGGAGAGGGCCCAAGATGCCAGATCAGATAAGTTAATTAGTCTATTCAAGGGGGAAAACCTCAGGGGGATCCCCCGCTGTTTAGAGCCTTAGTCTGAGCAAAAGGGGCCCTTGTTCAAGGTGCATGTATGTGGGGGGAGCTTCCAGACCCTTGGCCACATTCCAGACGTATAACAACAACAACGATAAAAAAAAAAATTCCCTTCTTTGTGTAGCCTGGATTCTTGCAGGGGCTCTCGTATCTGTTAGCTCATTTCACTTAGCATCACTAGGAAGGAGGTTGGGGGAGGGTGAGGTTCCTCAGGTTGTACAGCTGGAGAAACTGAGATACAGAGAAGTTCATCCTCATAGGATGGCATAGCCCGAGGGCAGAAAGGGACCTCAGAAGCCATCCAAGCCAATAATTAGAACTGAATAGTGATAATAATAATAATAATAATAATAATAATAATAATAATAATAGCTAGCATTTATACAGCACTTTGAGATTTGCAGAGCACACTATGCATGTCCTTGGTAGACCCTCACAATAGCCCCAGGAGGTTGGTGCTATTATTTTGCCCATTTTACAGATGAGGAAACTGAGGCTGAGAGAGGTTTAAGTGACTTGTCCAGGGTCCCACACAGCTAATGAGTGTCTGAGGTAGAATTTTAACTAAGGTCTTCCTGAACTCCAGGTCTAGCACTCTATTCCTTGTGCCACCTAGTTGCCAATCCCCCTCATTTTACAGATGGGGAAACTGAGGCTGAGAGGTTAAGCGACTCAGGTGGTCTTACTCTGAAGCCAGTGCTCCTTCCATTGTACTGTGCTGGTTCAGTGACTTAGAACTTGAAGGAACCCAACGTCCTCATTTTATAGATGAGTCTGTGAAAGGTGAAGTGATTTGATTCTAGAACAGCCCAGAGTAGAATCTAGAACTCCTCTCTTCCTTCCTCTTGTACTTTCTACAACAGCTCAGGTGGCCAGAAAGCCACAGGTGGAGTACTGTCAGTTAAGACTTTTTCCACCAGGAGAAGGCTTGGGAGATGGTGGGGGTAGGGAGTAGGGGGTCATTAGGCCCACCTCAGTAGACTGAGAAGCTGCAGAAGGGCTACCCAAGACTGCTCACTCATCCCACAGCTCCATGTCTGTCTCCTCCCCAGATCCTGGCCGCCACCATTGACAATGCCAGCTTGGTCCTGCAGATCGACAATGCCCGTCTGGCTGCGGATGATTTCCGTACCAAGTGAGTTAGGATTCTGTCGCCAGGGAGAGGGTAAAAGGAGAGGGAAGTCTTCTTGTTAGAGGACAAGTCACAGAGATCTATGAACCTTATGGGTTCGTTAGTGACCTCATCTGTAAAATAAAGGGAACAGAGTAGACTATTTCTTTCTTCTCTAGATTCTGTAATGCTCTGAGTACACAGTGTTAGATGGCTCACCTACTGCAACTCTCCCAGGTATGAGACTGAACTGAACCTGCGTCTGAGCGTGGAGGCTGATATCAATGGCCTACGCAGAGTATTGGATGAGTTGACCCTGGCCAGGGCTGACCTGGAGATGCAGATTGAGAACCTTAAGGAGGAGCTGGCCTACCTCAGGAAGAACCATGAGGAGGTGATATGGGGAGGGATGAAGACAGACTAGGGGTGGAGTGGGGATGCCCAAATAATGGCCCATGGAAGGTGGGGGAGTCTTGGAAGAATTGGAAAGCTTAGATGGGATGGTTCCTTGGTGGGGTGGGGGTGATCCTCCAGGGCCTTCTCAGTCTTTCCATTCCTTGTTCCTTATGTATAATTCAGTCAGAGAAGGAACTCCAGAGAATTACAATGAATAGGCCTGGATTCTTCATCCTATGTCCTTGCCTCCTCAGGTGTTCTAGTTTGGATCCTAGCCCCATTACCTACTGCCTAGCCACAGGTGATAGCAGTGGAGCCTCCCTGTCCCCAGTAAGGGAGATACCTCCGTTCCTCCCCTAAGTCTATCCCTTAGAGCCCCAAGGCATTGCCATAATTAGGAAGGGTTAGCATGAAAAATAGGTAAGGCTGGACTTCAGAAAAGTTGTGACATTTGTACCCGTGCTTGGTGTGCTCGTGTCCTCCCCTCACTGTGCCAAGAACCCCAAGGCAGGCTTTTCTTCCCTGGGCATCAGATCGACCTCCAACCTTTCCTAATCATCTACCATCTCTATTTCTCACTTTCCTCATCAAAAGTCACCCCCTCCACTCCAGGTGATACCTGGTGTCTGGTGTCCAGTTATCTTCAGACCTTGCTCTCTGCCAGGTATTATCTAAGCTAATACAGTTAGTGATAACGGTTAAGCATTAATGGCAGCTAATCCCCAAAGCACTTACACTTTTGCTTTGGAGCTCATTATGTACCTTCTCCAGCACCCCTGCCCCCTGGGCAGACAAACATTCCTGATGGTGCTTGGCTCACACTAAAGTGTGAATGAGTCGGTATTCCTTGAGCCCTTGACTGAAATACTATGGGGAAAGAATCAGTCTTGAAACTGACTGGGGATGGGCTATGAGGGTCTTGCCAGTGAATGTCCCCCAGCCCTGGATAGTGCTGAGGAAACAACATCCCTTCGCCCTGTGTCTGGTGGCATGATTGATGCTACTATTCTTTTCTCTGCCAGGAAATGAATGCCCTTCGTGGCCAAGTTGGTGGAGATGTCAATGTGGAGATGGATGCAGCTCCTGGGGTGGACCTGAGCGGCATCTTATCTGAGATGCGAGACCAGTATGAGAAGATGGCTGAGAAGAACCGCAAGGATGCTGAGGACTGGTTTTTCACAAAGGTGTGTCATTCATTCATTCGTTCATTCATTCATTCGTTCGTTCATTCATTCATTCATTCCACAAATACCTGTTCAATGCCTAACACTTGCAAAAAGCTGAAGGAGACACAAAGATGAAAGAGACACTATCTTTACCCTAAAACAGTTTACTTTCTAATAAAGGAGATGATGTATACACAAATAACAATATACGTCAGAATTTTCAGGAGTATAAGGTAACCATAAGCAAAGTGTCATGAATGTTGAATATCCACCCATCCTCAAAAGCCCAATTCAAATGTCTCCTCCAGGAAGTCTTCCCTGATCCTTTCACGGTAAAGATCCTACCCCCTCAGACCTCACATACTACTTTGTTCTGTACATTTCTAGTATGCTTATGTATTTTTGTTTACATATTATGGTTATATCTAGGTGATGCTGGCCCTGGAGTCAGGAAGACTAAGTTTAATCCAGTTTCAGACACTTACTAGTTGTGTGACACTGGACAAGTCACTTAAACTCTGTTTGCCTCAGTTTCCTCATTTGTGAAATGGGGATAACAACCCTACCTTTCAGGGTTGTTGTGAGGATCAAGTGAGATAATAATAGCAAATTAAATAACATAGTGTTTGGTATAAATGTCAACTATGATGATGATGATGATATCTACTCTCCTTTAAGCTTCATGAAAGTAGATATTGTATTTTATCTGAACTTTGTATCTCCTTAAGATCTATTGTAGGCAGCTGGGTGGTGCAGTGGATAGAGTGCCGGGACTGGAGTTAGGAAGACTCATCTTCCAAAATTCAAATCCTACTTCAGACATTTATTAGCTGTGTGACCTCGGGCAAGTCACTTAACTCTGTTTGCCTCAGTTTCCTCTTCTGTCAAATGAGCTGGAGAAGGAAATGGCAAACCACTCCAGTATCTTTGCCAAGAAAACCCCAAATGGGGTCATGGAGAGTGAGACAGGACTGAAAAATGACTGAACAACAAAAGTGGTAGGAAGCTTGTTGTTATTGTATGTGGATGCATAGTACTCTCTAAAGGGGGTAGGAAAACCTGGAGATCAGAAGTTTTCTAGAGTGGTCAGTGGCTGGGGAGAGGTCAAAGTCTTGTCCCTGTGCCCCTCCACCTCCGGGCTGTCCCCCACCAGGGATGGCCTGTTATGCCAAGGGAACATTCCATTTTAGACGGAGGAGCTGAACCGAGAAGTAGCCACCAACACGGAAGCCCTGCAGAGCAGCAAGACAGAGATCACCGAGCTGAGACGCTCTGTCCAGAACCTGGAGATTGAGCTGCAGTCCCAGCTCAGCATGGTGGGTATTGTACTCTTCACTTCTTGGTCCTACTTCCTCTCCTTCCAAGGCCAGCTTGGGATCATGGCAAAAGCTTATCATCAGAGGACTTGGATAGAAACCCTCTCTCTGCTTTTGCTAACTGCATAACCTTAGGCGATCACTTCTCCTTTCTGGGCCTCAGTTTCCTTATCTGTAAAATGGAGTGGTTGGACTAGATTGACCTTGAGGCTCTTGGTCTATATCCTTGTTGTCCTGTGACCCCTGAGTTGTTTGAGCATGTGCTGGCTGCTGGATCAATGGGCAAAGTGTCCTAGGTTTCATTGCCCACCCAGCTTCCACTCTCCCCCTTGCAGAAAGCTTCCCTGGAGGGCACCCTGGCAGAGACAGAGGCTCGCTATGGGGCCCAGCTGTCCCAACTCCAAGGGCTGATTAGCAGCATTGAGCAGCAGTTGTGTGAGCTCCGCTGCGACATGGAGCGTCAGAACCAGGAGTATAAGATCCTCTTGGATGTGAAGACCCGGCTGGAGCAGGAGATTGCTACCTACCGTCGCCTGCTGGAGGGAGAGGATGCTCAGTGAGTGGCCAGTGGGGAGGGCAGGTGTCTCTGTGAGAGAGTAGGAGAGTTGGGCTAGCTGTCTGGGGCAGGCTGGAGCATAGGCAAGGGGAGAGGGGGGTCCTTCCCAATTACTGATGGTGGATGAACAGATGGACACAAGTATGGGTCCCTGGCTATGTGTGACTAGAGAAGTGGTACCACATGGAAGAAGAGCACTTATTTACACAGACCCCTGGGTTGTTCTTCAACTGGCCTAACAAATTCCTACTTCAGAAACCCTGGCTCCCAATGATGGGGATGGTAGAATTGGGTATATAAGTTCTTGGGGTACGTGTGTATGATTAATTTACATATTATTTGGATAGAATTTACTTGTCTCTATGTATTTAATCCCATTTGCCTCAGTTTCCTCATCTGTAAAATGGGCTGGAGAAGGAAATGGCAAACCACTCCCTTATCTTTGCCAAGAAAACCCTCAGTGGGGTCACGAAGATTCAGACATGAGTGAAATGAATTGAACAATTTAAACAAAAATACATCAGCCCACCAGAAATGTACAGAACAAAGTATTATGCGAGGTCTGGGGTGGAGGAGCATCTTTACCAACTGGAAGGGGGGTGGACAAGGAGAGGCTTTCTGAAGGAGGCATTTTCCCTCCATCACTGTGGCAGGGATCACTGCCAGGATCTTAGTCTCTGAGCTGACACTTTCCTATAGTGGCTCCCTATTGCCCCATTCCCCTGGCACCCCACTGGGCTCATTCTCTATTAAAGCATCTCTGTAGCTTGATCCTTGTTATTATCTGGTCAGGCCATCTGCAATTTAAAAGGTCGTAGGATCATTGGTAGGTGTGAAGCCTGTGTGAAGAACTCCTGGTGTGGAAACTCCACCAATGCAAACTGGCATAATTTCTAATGAAGTCTTCAGGAGTTACCTGGGGTGAGGGGCACTGGGAAGTTAAGTAATTTGCCCATGGTCACAGGTAGTTTGTGTCAGGCACATGACTTGAACTCCAAGGCTGGTACTCTATCCACTATGACATGCTGCCCGAAGGCCAACAGGACCATAGGATATTAAAATGTAAAGAGCCCTTAATGGATCATATGTCCCTTCATTTTACAAATGGGGAAAATGAGGCCTGAGGTAGTTAAGTATCTTATCCAAGGTCATATGGGTATCATATATTACTCTGTTATAAGGTCATAGGCTAGATACAAAGGTTAGAAGGTTGGACTCAATGACCTTTGAGGTCCCTTTTACCTCTAAATATATGATCCTATACTCCTTAGTCTGAGAGGAACCCTGAGAGGTCTTCTGGGTCAGGCCCCAGGCTCCAAGCAGGTACCCTTTTAAACATCTAGGTCTGGTGGCCCATTGTTCTGTTCCTGACAATTTCTACCAATGGAGGCTCTAGCACCCACTTTGATCACTTATGCCTGGGCTTTCTTTCCCTCGTGTTAGAGAAGAAGTGCTTCTTGCTATCCAATCACAATCTCTTTTGTTTTAAAACAGTCCATTTCATTGTGTTTGGTCTCTCCTCGGACTTAAAGAACAACTTACTTAGCTCTTTCCTCATAAAATCTTTCATGAACTTGGAGCCTGCCCTCCCCTATCCTAGTTTGTCACTTTCTTCTCTCTCTCTCTCTCTCTCTCTCTCCTCCTCTCCTCTTTACTCCTCCTCCTCCTTCTTCTCTCTTGTTCTTGCTTGCTCTCACTTTCTTCTCCCCTCCTATCCCCTGCCCTCCCCAGTTTTATTTTTTCACTTGAATGTAACAAACCTCAACTACCTGAGCCCTTCCATGAAGCCATGAGTCTCTATTAATAGTAATAACTAACATTTACATAGCACTTTAAGGTTTGCAAAATGCTTCACAAAAGTTATCTCGTTTAATCCTCACAACAGCCTTGTGAGGTAGATGTATTATTATCCCTATTTAACAGATGAGGAAACTGAGGTTTAGCAATACATAGCTATCAAGCGTCTATGGTCAGATTTGAACTCGGGTGTTTCTGACTCTAGGCCCAGTGCTCTACCCACTGTACCACTCAGTCGCTATTATGTAGTGCTTGATACTGGGCTGCCTTCATTTCCTCCCCTTGGGAACTGATTTTTCTAATTCCCTTCACCTTCCATGTGCCACAGAATCCTTTTACAGATTAGGAAGGTGGGAGGGATAGCAGGGAAGGATGGGGACCTTGGAGCTGAGAAGGGCATCAGAGTATGGTACCCAAGAAGACTTTTCTGGGCCCCCAAACTGGAGTCCTGGAGTCACTGTTTCAATTGGTCCCCTTTTCTCACCCTTACAGCTTGGCTTCCCAATACTCCTCTGCTCTGGGCTCCCAGTCCAGCCGAGATGGTAAGTGAACATTCTGACCTGTTGTACATCTGGACAGCTGGTTGGCATGAGAAGAGAGGGAATGTCTCTGTGAGGGGGTAGGGAATAGTTCTGGTTGGGGAGGCGGGTAGAGGGTGGGGTGGTATGAAGCCTAGAGTCCCCTCTGCTCAGGTGGTCTGGAGACCTTTGCCAAGCAGGTGGGGTGAGAGTGATTACAAGTGAAAAGGGGGTGGGTCTGGCTTCTGGGGCAGGCTTGGGCAGAGACAGGGATTCCCTGCCAGGGCTTTCCTCATTTTGTTTCCTTCCTTTCCTCATTCCCTACCCCTATCCCCTTGCTCCCCTTCTTGCCTACAGCCATAGTGACCAGCCGCCAAGTACGCACCATCATGGAGGAGGTCCAGGATGGGAAAGTAGTCTCTTCAAGGGAGCAGGTCCACCGCTCTACTCACTAAGCCTGCAGCGGGCACCTTGCTGGGCAACATGGAGAAAGGGGGGTATTTCCTCCATCACTGTGGCAGGGGGTCCCTGCCAGTGTCTTGGTCTCTGAGCTAACATTTTCTGGTATTGGTTTCCTGCTGCCCCATTCCCCTACCACCCCATTGGGTTCATGGTCTATTAAAGCTTTTCTGCAACTCAATCCTTGTTATCGTCTGGTTTGGTTATTAGTTGAGGACCCTTTGGCCTCTCCTGCATTGCACTTCAAGACAGAGGGAGATGAGGTCAGAGGCGTGGGGGACGAGGTGGGGGAAGTTTGTATCTTGTCGTGGCTTCTTTTCATAGGTATCTGGCTTGGGTATCGACTTGTCACCCACACACCCAACTAAGCCTGTGTCTATTGCTTACCTGCCAGCTTGAATCACCACCAGTGACTGTGAGGTGGGAGAAGCCCCACCTCCCTACCTGTAAACTGTGACCTCTCTTTGGTGCCCAGGCACCCCTGGAGAACACTGGCCCTTTAAACCCCTGGCCTCTGTGAAAAGATAGAGGCTGAGGCTCCTGCTACAGAGAGAGGGTAGAGCTTGATGATACCGCCCTGACCATTGCAGTAATGTTCTCAACTCCATTTTCCAAACTGTGCCTGATTCGGCACAGAGAAGGAGCTGCAGGGCATTTTCAGAGGGCAGCATTGCCATGTAGGACTGCTGGCTCTTCATCTCCTCACTGGCTGGGTGTGGGTGTGTGTGCCTGCGTGGGGGGCGGCCTGTTTGTTCTTCCTCTCTGGCAGTTCTTGGGCCACTGAGGAATCTCATCTGGCTGAGAATAGGTGACTGTCTGGGCCTGCCTGGAAAGATGGGAAAGCAGCTGGCAGCCCCAGACACGACCACATTCCGCCCAGCCTGCCCGTCCAGGACCCTGGGACCCAGGGCTGGGCCTGGGAAGCTAAAGAAGGGGTGGGGGAGGACACCAACCTTTTTAGGTTTGGAACAGGAGTTCTTAATGTTCTTCGTGTCATGGACTTCTTTGGCAGGTTGATGAATCCTATGAACCCCTTCTTAGAATAATGTTTTTAAATGAACAAAACAGAATATAGACATTTACAAAGGAAATCCATTCTATTGAAACACAGGTATCAAAATATTAAGGGTCCCAAGAACACAGACTTCAGATTAAGAAACCCTGATTTATAGGAAGCAGCGTCTGATCTCTTGGCAATGGTTTGATGGCTGATGGTGAAATTAGGGGGAGATGAGCTCAGAACCTTCTCCTCTCAGGGAGGGTGGGGCCTAGCTGAAATGTTCCTTTGGTTTCTAGCTGATTCAGTGACTTCAGAGTCAAGGCCAGTCCTCACCAGCCCCCCCCCCCCCAAGTCCTTTGAGGCATTCCTAAGTACACAGTTGAAGCTGGGGATGTTTAGTGCCTAGAGGAGACTTCACCACTCATACTAGGGCTCCTAGAATCTACTTGGACCTTGTGTGATCAGGGTAGATGAAGGAGCAACTTCTTCCTCACCGTAACTTTTCTTTCATCCCTTCCCTCTCTTTCTCTCTGCCCATCTCTTTCCTTTCATCCTGGCTAAATGCCTCTTCTCGCTCCCTCCTCCCCAATACATTTAATAAACACTCTTTTTAGCACCCAGGTGGGCTTAGCCCATCTATACTGGAAGTGGGCCTATTGTAAGGACTGCGACCCTGGCATGAGTATGGATCAGGGCAAAGACTGTTTCATTTTTGCCTTTGGGTCCCCAGTGCCTTGCATAGTGTCTGGCATACAGTAGGTGCTTAATAGGTACTGGTTGGTTGATTGATGTCTGTGCCAAGCCTATGATGAGGGATGGATTTGGTACCTTCTCTGGAAATTCAAGAGTTAGACTGGTATGGATGATGGAGGGACTTGGGACTTGGGGTGGAATCTTGGTAGAATGGGGACATGGCCACCAGAGGTCTGCCCTAGGAGATGGTGGCATCCGAGTCATGACCTGGTGTGCTGAATAGAGCATTGCCCCAGGGTGCCGACGTGAAGGGGGTGCTTCGTCTTCAGGAATATGTACTTCCTCCATGGAAGTACCACTGTCCAGGCACTCTGCCTTGTGGTCCCATGCTGGGGTCTGCTCCTGGTGAGGGTTGGTCCATCCCCTCTATTGGGGGCTGTCCTGTCTTCTGTGCCCCTGCCATGTTCTTCCCTCGTCCCAGACCCTGCTCCCGTTGCCCCAGGTGAGCCTAGTCCTACCTATGGCTCTGAAGGGGTAGGGGTGGGCAAGGCTGGGTAGGGGGATTGTTTAAGGTTGACCCTTCTTCAGGTTGTTACCTGGTGGGGCCAGTAAGTGCTGCCTGATTTAAGCAGGGGAAGGGGATGGGGCTTGAGATATTCAACCTCCAGTGTAGGCTCAAGGATTCCCTAGCCACAGCTGGGGTTGGGAGATATTTGGGAATAGATTGGACCAGCCCAGGGGTGAGCCTTCCCTGCTCTTGGCTCACACTGTGGGGCTGTTTTTTCTGGTAGCTGGATGTTTCCTCTTCCTTCCCTATAAGGCAAACCCAACCTAGGGCTGCTCACTGGCAAATCTAGGTCACCTGAGATCCAGTGCCTGGAGTGACACAGCCAGGCCTTCTTGCCTCCTTCCCCTCTTCCTGCTGCTGCTGCTAATGCCTGGGAGGGCCCTCTTGCTCATGACTTCTCTGGAGCTCCTCTTCCTCATTAGGTCATGGGAAAGCATAGCTGGGGGGCCCGGTCCAGCCTGAATCACAGGTGACGGTGTCTGAGCACAGAGAAGTACACATACTCACGAACAACGCTCACACATACACATACACGCACACACATGAACGAACGCCCAGTTTAAGGATCTGAAGAAATGAGGCAAACCCCCGGATACTAATGGGGGGGAAATCGAGCCACCTGGGCGCTGGCAGGAGGCCAAGCGGTGATGAAAGCAGAGGAGAATGGAAACAAAAAAAGCGAGGGCTTTTATCACTACGCCCACTGGCCTGGGTATAAAGGCAGGGGGAGAGTGATCACAGCTTACACACACTTCTCAGTCCCAGCTCCTCCTCGTGTGACTGAAACTAGAGTGGGCTCTCTCTCTTTCCCTCACCATGGCCACCACTACCATTCGCCAGTATACCACCTCCAGCTCCATCAAGGGCTCCTCCGGCCTTGGTGGGAGCTCCTCCAGAGCCTCCTGCAGGGCCCCAGGCAGCGGCTTTGGCTCTGTCTCCTCTTCTAGGCTGGTTTCAGGAGGCCTAGGGGCAGGCTATGGAGGCAGCTGCTATTCTGGCAATTACAGCTTCAGCAGTGGGTTGGGGGGCAGTTACGCGGGCAGCTTCGGTGGTGTGGATGGCCTGCTGGCTGGGGGGGAGAAGGCCACTATGCAGAACCTCAATGACCGCCTGGCCTCCTACCTGGATAAGGTGCGTGCCCTAGAAGAGGCCAACACTGATCTGGAGCTGAAGATCCGGGACTGGTACCAGAAGCAGGCACCTGGGCCTGCCAAGGACTACAGTGGCTACTATCAGACCATCGAGGACCTGAAGAATAAGGTACCACCCCGCCATCTCCAGAACACACACACACACACACACACACACACACACACACACGTCTCATAAAATCCTAGGAGCTGGAAGGAACATCTACTCTGACCCCCTTCTTTTATAAAGGGATAAACCGAGGCCCACAGAGGTGGGCACAGAGTCACACAGTTTAGTTAATGGCAAAGACCCAGGTCTCTCAGTTTGATATTACATATTGCCAGAGCTCAGAGAAAGGTTCGAATAAGATGTCGAGAGTTTCCTATATGAGAGGGCAAAAAGAAGGGGTGTCCAGTAGAAGGAGAGCTGGATTTGGAGCTAGAATTCCTGGGTTTGGAGCCCACGGTGGGACACTTAATCATCTCTGTGACATCAGGCTTAATGCTGTTGTGTCTTCATTTCCTCATCTGTAAAATGAAGGGGTTGGATGGATGATCTCTAAGGGTTCCCTTCAAGGCTTAAATCTACAGTCCTTTGAAGTAGGATTCCCTTGGAGCATTGTGACTGGTCCTTTGGGGAGGGATGGAACAGCTTACCACCTGTGCCATAGAGATGTCCTCAACTCAGGTCTCTCCTTGAGTCTGGGTGCTGGGGGAGACAAATGGCCTCCTCTCCTTGTCAAGGGTAAAATCAAACTCAGGGTCCCCCCATGCCCTGGTCCTGTTCTGACTCCCCAAATCTCTTGGGACTGAGGATAAAAGTTGGGGATGGGCTAGTGCGACTTGGTTGAGGGCCAAGGCACCTGCTACTAGGAGGAGGTAGATGCTGCCATCTAAGGAAGGAATCAGGTTAAGAATGTCTCCAAGGCTGCTGAAGGCTTCAGTGAGTGCCCTGTAGGTATCTCCAATACCTTGTGTGGAGAATTCAGGGATTCCTCCTTGGTTCCCTCCTCCAGAGGCCGAGGCTTTTTTTTTCTGAGCGTCCCTGAAAGAAGGAAAGTCAAAGGGAGGATCTGTGGGTTGAGGCATCCCTGGGATGCTGGCTGCTTATTTGCCAAGCTCTTCTGGGTTTGAATTTGATATCTTCATCAATGTCTCCTTTGGGCATCTTCCCTGGCCTTTAGTTTTCCTGCCCTTGAGGGGGATGGGCCAGAGTGGCAGAATGAAGTCATGGAAAGGACACTGGATTTGGAGCCTGAAGACCTGGGTTCAAATTCCAGCTTCAACAGTTTACTCTCTGGGTGCCCGTAGACGAGTCACTTAACTTTTCTGAGCCTCAGTTTCCTCTTCTGTAAAATGAGGGGGTTGGATTAGATGACCTCCCAGGTGTCTTTCAGTTGACATCTTTGCTCCTGTGATTTCTAAGGCACTTGATATCTAAGTTCTTCTGCTCTGACATTTCTAATCCATCCTTTGCCCAAGACCAAGTTTTGGAGCCCGCTCTCCCGGGTTCAAGTCCCCTCAGGTTTCCTCTCCACCAGCCTGCAGCTTCCTCTCCACCTAAGTCAGAGCATGGGGGGTGGAGGGCTGTGTTGGGAGAAGGGGGGCAAGTTTCAGCTCATTCAACTCCTACTCAGCTCCTGTCTGCTCTCTGAAGCAACCTCAGAGCAATTATCTTGGTGGGATAGAGGAGGAGGAGTTAGGGAGGGAGGGTCCGAGTGAAGGAGGTGCCAATATCCAGTGCCCCTGGGAAGGAA